ATGAGTTTCGGCAGCAGCTGACTTGGGGATGCCTGGGGTTCTTAAGTTGAATCTGTATGTAAGTCAGAACTGCCAGATTCAGCCGCTGTTGAAACTGATCAGTTTCAGCAGCGACTGAATCTGGACGCCAGTTCCGACTTACATACAGATTCAACTTAAGAACAAACCTACAGTCCCTATCTTGTACGTAACCCGGGGACTGCCTGTATATTTTTATGAGTCTCTGTATTTTAACATCAAATACAGTTTAGCAAATTCTGGATCAGCTTGAGTCAAGTAAATGATAATGTTCTTGTTTTCTTTGTAGATGCTGGATATGGTTGGTTTTCTGACTTAAAAGAACATTGCCAAAATCTAATATTTATATTTGTTTTACTATAGATTCTAAAACATGAGGGACTTTTCAAAAAAGGAATTTTTACTAGTACTTTTGATTTTTTTGCACTCTGTCTTGGATTTTTCTGATTCTTTTATGCTGAAACAGTGCTTTTGGGTCTTATGTGGTGTTTCAGTTAAATTGTATAGGTCCTTTTTTATTTAAATTATACACATTTTGGGCCTACTTGAATGCCCTACTTACAGAGATAAGTTGTGACTGGCTGCCATGCAATCAGATGTGCAAGGCGATCATTCTGCAGTATCGTAAGGCTGTCTTCCTCTACTTTGGAAGTTCTTGCTGTTAGAGTTTACAGCACAAACTCAGACTTTTCTCACTTCATTAATATGAGAGCTCCCAAGCTACCAGGTATCCAAGGAGATGTTGAAGGACCTTCGATGTCTGAGCCAAAAATGATGGAGATTTTCACTGACCTCAGACAAAGTGGCATTTTTAATTTCTGCAGCATATAACTGTTCTGGCTAATATATGCAAAGGCATTTGGTAAAAATGACTTACCAGTACTTTTATTTAATAGATACAGAATCTGACAACTCTGATAACAACACCATCTTTGTGCAAGGACTTGGAGAAGGTGTTTCAGCAGATGAAGTGGCTGAATATTTCAAGCAAATAGGTATTATAAAGGTGTGTGTGGTGACAAATCATTGTCACTCAAAGCTTTGGAAGGCTATAGATCAAATATGTTGGAAATATCTTAAAAAGCAGCACATTCCCTGCCTTTTATTTTCGAGCGACTATATGTCTGTCTTTTCTCCTGCTGATTCACAGATGGCAGCTTACAGAAAAGAAGTTGCTGGTATTACCAACTTACTAGCACAGAAGTCAGCTGCCATTTCTCTTTTCTACTCCTAGTTCTCTAAGAATTTCCTTATTATGTGTCCCTATCAGGAGTGAATATTTAATGCTTCAATAAGTAATTATGTCTCTCTTACCCGCTCACTCAGGGCTTTTCTTACCTGCTTGCTCAGGGCTTTTCTTCCTATCCTCAGAAATCCAAATCAAGGGCGCTCCTTCATTATACTTGACCTCAACTAAAGTTCTAACTAGTCGAGGCCATTTCATTTTAAAGTTCATGCTGTGAGCTGGAGAGCAGTCAGTATTCTTCCATCAACCAAATTTTTTTTCATGTAAACTAGCCCCCACGAATCTCTTCTGCTACCACTCATTAATAAAAATTGCTTATACTGTTAACTGGTTTGAGTAGTTTCCTCCATTAACTGAATGTTGAGGAAATACCTTTTTTTTCCAGACTAACAAAAAGACTGGCAAGCTTATGATAAATCTATATACAGATAAGGATACAGGCAAACCAAAAGGAGAAGCAACAGTGTCTTTTGATGACCCTCCTTCTGCAAAAGCAGCCATTGACTGGTTTGATGGTAAGATTGCCTTTTTTCCTTTTGTGCATGACACTTAGCAGTCAGTAGAGACTGCATATTCATAATTACCTTTGGACTGAGTGTCATTTCTTTTTAAATCCATTTCAAACAGACCCCTGTTTTTTCCCCCCTCTGATGTGCTGGTTCAGAAGAAAGCCATTATTTCTGTTGCTGCGTGTCACTTGTCTCTGAATACAATTTAGTCAGTGTGAGTGAGTTTTTCTGATGTAATTCAACACCATGCAACTTGTTATGGTGTCATTTAGCTTATTGAAACTAGAACATCACAGTAAGCGGACTACAAACGGAGGTGTGGTAGGTGAGGTACCATGGAGTTGGTAGCAGGCCCTCAAAACTCTAGCCAAGGTTGAAAACTCATTGTGGAAGGCACTCTAGGGCACTGGATTACTTTTGTTGTGTTTGTAAAGGACTGACAATCTAATGGACTGTATGAACAAAGAGCAGGAGGGGAAACAGGCACAGAAAAGTCATCTGTCAAAGGCCACACAGATAGTAACAGAACTAGAAATGAGCAATGTGAATGGTTAGATGGTAAGCCTTACCCTTAAAAATCAATCCACTTGAAACATATTTGCAAAAAATAAGGCATAAAAAATAAATTTGCTAGTCAATTTCTTCTTGCGGATCGTTACATCAACTCCAAACCCAAGCACATCCCTCCATCTTTGCTGCTTAGGTCTACGTATTCCAAGAGTCAGCGGAAACACAACACCATTAGAACTGGTGTTAATATTGTTTAACATTCTGTTGTTAGAAAGCAATATAACGGTCCTTTTTAAACTTTTCAGTGTGTTTCCAGAACCTGCTCCCCCTCTCCGCTACAGAGTTTCCTGAGGTTTGGGGCACACTGATTGATTTTTAAGGCCATTGCAGTGGTTGCTGTGCGATGCACCCAAACGATAATAGGCCCCAGAGTGCCCTGTGATAAGATTTTAATTGTATAATACATTCTAGTTGCAATCCTGTAATATGGAAGTGCACATCCTTGTGCAGGGAAGAGCGATATTGATTCTCTACTATCTGTTGGTATGAAAACATACTGTCTGATTAGTGGGATCAAGGTTCATAGATATTTAAACTGCCCTCTAATAAACTATACTGATGACAAGCATAGCAGGTAAATCCATGGTTGCATCTTGTGTCCTTAATCTAAATTTCAACTTATAGATTGTGCTTTGATTTAAATGTGCATCTTTTTGAAAGCCTATTGTATCAAGAATAGATATACAAGCAGTCCCCGGGTTACATGGATCCGACTTACTTCGGATCCCTACTTACAAACGGGGTGAGGCAACCCCGCACTAGCTGCTTCCCCCCAGCAGACCAGGGAGACGCGGAGCGGCTTTTCTCAGCAGACACCTCAGCTTGAGAATAAAGGACTGAGGGAAGTGAGGTGTGGGAGAATAAAACTGAGCTCTGGAGAAATGTTTGGCTAGCGTTTCCCCTACAATATGTACCAGTTCCGACTTACATACAAATTCAACTTAAGAACAAACCTACAGTCCCTATCTTGTACGTAACCCGGGGACTGCCTGTAAATACATATTTGTGTCTCCTTACTGTTTGCCATCTGTGCAGTGATGCTAGAATCCAATTTTCAACAGCATTTTGATTGAACATAATACTTTTTCTGGTACTGCTGGTGTTGAATTTAACAATGCAAGTTATGATCACTTTGGATGTTGCTGTCCATTATTGAGCTCTAGTGAATTGTTTCTCTTTCTCTTTTCCCTTTAGGAAAAGAATTCCAGGGCAATGTTATCAAAGTTTCTTTTGCAACCAGAAGGCCTGAATTTCAGAGAGGTGGTGGCAGTGGTCGTCGAGGTAACAATAGAAGTTATAGGGTATCTTTCCTTTTGTATGTTAAATGCAGTCACTTGTGATCTTTTTAAAGAGGGCTAACCCCTTGGCAGTAATGTATGTGGGTTTTGGGAAGGCATAGTGAAAGATTTCTGGCATTTAAGGCGTTAGTAAATATGGCAGTAGCATGTGCAAGTTAAGTAAATTCTGTAGTCCACTCTTTTGGACTAGAGTACGTCTAGTTCTGTACATTCCCAATGTGGAGATGTTGCCTACTTCAACATTCATCCTGGCTTATAAAGAAAATGTAAAATATGTGGCCAGTCTTAAAGTCATTAATTACATAGCACAGCTTTCTGAGCTGTTGTCTTGGGATGCGTTGCTGGGAATTTGCAATGGGAGTTCAGGGGGGTTGGGTACCCAATTCCTGCTCAGAAGTCCATAGAAGCTGGGTACCCAACCCCCATTGTCCTCTTTAAAAATCCCAGACGCTTTGTGGAGTTCAGCCCTATCAAACGAGTCTGCTGGGTATTGATCTTACTGCACTTCCTTTAACAGGCGGGCTTTATATGCTGTGATGTTACGAACAAACACTGGTTTTTAGGGCCAAGCAATTTTAGGGGGTTGATAAAGGGGTCATTTTTTAAAACCTAGTTCTATGTGATAGGTGGGGCTGTTCCATGCTAAAAACAAGAATCCTGGAGCCTGTATTGGAAGAATCCTGCCATATGTGGCAGGGTGGAGCATATATTTGGTTACTTCTGTGATTTGATCTGTCTGTAGTTGGAATTGGGTGTGTAGTTAGAATCTCAATGAAACTTCACTAATACATAAAACAGATTTGTAATTGATCAGCTGGTAAAGTACTTACAGTGCTGAAAGGGAATAAAATAGAAAACACATGGCACAGACTTATATGGCCACCAGGTGCTGCTCCTGCACAATATTCCCTCTTTTGTATGAGTTGAAATAAAAACATTCATACTCTAAGCTTTACAGCTGCCCACAGACCTCCACTGGGGGAGATTTGAGTCCTGCAGTTCAGAGGTTTGACAAATGTTTGAGCATTTGCGCTACCTTTTAAATGTAAAACATGACATGGTTTTTCTCTTTGGGCTAGTTAAATTTTAGCATTTCATAAGTAATTCTAAAAGAATCAATTTGCAAATTGCACATTGGTGTGCTTGCCAGGCTGCCATCCATTTCCAGATTTCCTAATTCATGGAAACTATTATCTTAGAAGGTGGCTGATTAAATCACCCAGTGGCTCATTCCTCCACCAAGGAATAATGCCTGTCACTTGCCGAAGCCAGTGAGAGCCTGCAGATAAACTTCTTGTGTATGGGTTAAAGGAACACCTCCCCTGCTTTATTCTGATTATCATTCTGTCCACAGGATCACGAGGTGGCTTTGGAAGAGGTGGGGGCTTTGGAAGAGGTGGAGGCTTCCAGGGTAGAGGTGGGGATCCCAAAAATGGTGATTGGATTTGTCCTAACCCGTAAGTGTTGTTTTAATTGGGTTAGGAGTGTTTTATATGTGTTCATTCAGTTCCTGACAAAACTCAGTATGAGGAATCTCTCTTTCTTTCAGGAGCTGTGGTAATATGAACTTTGCTCGCAGGAATTCCTGCAATCAGTGTAATGAGCCCAGACCAGAAGAGTCACGTCCATCAGGTGGAGGTGTGTAAGAGATCAGTGCAAGTGTAACAACTTACTTCTGACTGTGTTCGGTGCGATTGTGGTGTTGTAGCAACACATTCGTCAGTGTTTGATCTTGCCTGTCTCCCTTACAGATTTCCACGGGAGAGGTGGTTTTGGAGGTGAAAGAGGATACAGAGGGCGTGGTAGCAGAGGGGGCGACCGAGGTGGTGGCTATGGTGGTAAAATGGGAGGAAGGTAAGCATTATCTTTGCTGCTTTGACGACTTGTGGAATGTAGATTTTAAGAGGGTGGGCTCTTCCTTGATAAATACAACTTGTGGCTGGATTAGGGTGACCAGATGCCTTCATTTTATAGGGACAATCCTAATATTCAAGGTTTTTTTCTTAGATCGATGCTTATTCTCCCCTCCCCCCTACTCCTTATCCTGATTTTTCACACTTGGTATCTGGTCACCCTAGGTGGTATCAAGGAGTAACTGTTATTAAAGCACAGATATTTTACATAGCATAATAGTGTGTACAGTTCACAAGTTAGATTCCTTTTGCTGAAAGGACATACAAACACAGGCCACTAAGAACAGTTTCAGGCAGGTAGATGCCTAGCTATTAGCAGTGGCCAATGCCCACAGCAGAAGGGGAGCCAAAAGAAGAGATTTGCACAGGTAGGTGTTTGGGGTGGTCTCCAGCTGCTGGAGTTGCAATGGGACTCAATAGACTTGAATTTGTTTTTCAGAAACGACTTCAGAAATGACCAGCGCAACAGGCCATACTAGAGACCGCTGGGAATGTTCTGTTTGTCTCTGACACAGTCAGTAGAGCTTTGCCTGCTGCTTTACCCATGGCCTCTTTTGGATGGCAAATTACGCGGAATTGGATTTATATTTTAGTGGGAGGGACTGGGACAGTTTCTTTTAGTTTTTCTTTCCAGCAAGTCCATTGAAATTTCATCTTTAATTTCCAACGTTTTCCTGATTTCACTCTTTCAGCTCTTCAGCAGCCTATAAGAAAGAACAGAATGAATTGTAAAATATTGCCAGAATCGAATGTTTTGTAATACAACAATAAAAACTGATTGTTTTATTTGTGAAATATTACATTGTTCTCCCAGTTACTTCATCGCTTTAAGCCCCATCCTTTTCCTCCACATTCCCAGTCTTCTGTGGAGCAGCCTGGGTTACAAGTCAGGGTCTTGCTCACAAATGACATTATTCTGTAAGTCCCTACCATTATGAAATGCCCTTAGAACCTTTTTAGTTTAGTCCCTGGAGAAGCTATTTCCAGTCCATGTCTTTGGGCCCAGAACTAGCAGCACATTTCCCTATATTGCACTTCCCTTCTCACCTTGCTGAGCAGAAGCTCGAGTCAGCCTGCACCGGGGATGTCTGTCCCACTTGGGTAGTCACTGGAGTCGTTCCGGGGAACCCAAAGGTGGCAGGCAGTGTGTTCCCATTGTGTCTGGGACTTGATCAAACGAAGAGCGAGTTAAGTCAGAAGATGGGACAGTCGGCTCAAAACAGAAGTACCTAGCTATGAACCACTTCACCTCTGAGCCGCAGTTGTGGAAATTAACATGGTGGCAAGCAACAGTAAAGAGGTAGAGGTGAGTTGGGCTGCCAGCCCTGCTCCTAGTGGAGAGTACACACAATACTAGCCGCAGCTGGCACTCAGTAGGGAAGCCATAGCTTGAAGAAACAAGGGAGACCAAACCTTCCACATCAAGGCTGAAATGGGTTGGTGGGATGCCATGAGAGTCTTGGCACTGTGCCGCCTGCTTCGTGGATAACATCCTTTGTCTTCAGTGCTGTCAATCTTACACCAGCATTACTTTTGCTTTCCTAAAAGATCGGTAGGACAGCTGATGACCTCTGCCTTCCTGCATAGCAAAATCGTATCACTGTGGGTTTGAGGATCTGGTTTGAACCTGATCACTAGAAGGGTGGCTGGTCAGTGCCTGTCATCGGTCTGCTTTGTTCAATTCTGCATGGACTTGGGGGGGAAAAACGCTGACATGGGCATGCCCTGCATTCTGTTTGTAATATCTGACAACCTTCCAGCAATGAGTAGAATATTAACAGCATCAACCTCTTGGTCTTGTAGATCCATTGGTTTTATACAGTTCACCGTGTAAGGGTCTGAGGCATCATCTCAAAAACAGACCTCTTGTCAATTCTGTGTGGGTGCCAAAGATACCACGACTCTTAGATGCATTTGCATGAGGATCTTTGGCCAAAAAGTGGTCGCCCTTCTCTGTTTAGTGCAGGCTGCTGGCACCTGATGTCCAAAACGTGGCTGCATATCAATGCTGCTGGATATGTGAGGTTATAAATAGCTTTGGGATGACAGGAGTTATGGAAAGGCAAGGAGCAGATGAAATTAAAAGGTTGAATAACTACAATCTAGGACTTGATCTTAAACAAGAAGTAGGACCTGCTTCTCCTATGCCTTCTACCCAATGTGTTCATTTCCACCTGTGCAAAGTGGATGTAAAAATGAAAGCTATCATTCTGACGTGCATTGTTAGCTTCTCTTTGTCGGGTACGAATAGCCACACATGGTGGAAGGAGCAGGAGTTTGGCCAGTGTAGCTGTCAGAGATCACATCCTTGATGGATATAACTCTGCTGGCACAAGTTTGTACACTTGGCCTTAGCGTGTCTTGCTCTCAAATGAAAATTCAGCATCATGCTGGGAGACTGTTGATGATCATTAGTCTCCACAGCTTCCCTAGGGAAAGTAGCTTAATGTGAGCAAAGCAAAGATCTTGTAGAAATCAAACCAACATAAAGTGAAATTCTTGCTGGTCAGTTCTCAATGCTGGGGTGGGAGGGGAGAAGTGCTATCTATATACTGGAATATCTATCTACTTTCCAAATCCCTGAAAATTTGCATTAAATAAGATACAATAAACAACCGTGAGGGCTAAGGGAAGGGAAATCAAGGAATCGTTATTCTAACCAATACCTGTGTGTCCGTTTTTAGAGTAGGATGGTTGCTGGGCATTTTCTATGTCCACTAGGGACGGTGTCTCTACCCTCTCCCTGTTGCCAGAAACTGGGAACGGGTGATGGGATGGACTATTGGATAGTTGCCTGTTCTGTTCATTTCCTCTGGAGCACCTGGCATTGGTCCCTGTCAGAAGACCAGCTCTTGGGCTAGACTGACCTTTGATCTGACCCAGTGTGGCTGTTCTTACGGGTGACTGAAGTTCATCTGTTTTACTAAGCAGGTTAGTGACCAATTAAACTAGCCAGACCAACTGCAGACCTACTGAAGTGGAGCCCAATTTTGTTTTTCCCAATCTTGCAATGAAAAATCTCACTTGGGTTGGGTATAGAACTGTTTGCTGTACCGCTAGTTTTGCGACCAATGTTTTTTGTGCCTCATGAAATGGACAGTTTTTGCTAAATGCTTTTTCAGGTGAGAAATTTGCTGGCCAGCTAGGGAAGGAAGGGGTAGCATTAGCCTGGTGGTAAATCCATTCTCTTAGCTGGTCTTTCTTAGATACAGCATTAAATATAGAATACTTGTATTCTGTTGTGAGGTTTTTTTCAGGTCTCATAACCAGTGCAAGCCTAGATGAAACTTTGTCAGCCCCCTACTCTGCTACCAGATTCCTCAGCAGATACTGGCTGAAGATCAGTGGCACAAGATTTAATAAGGGAGGAGTTAGCATCTGGTTGTCTAGCTACAAAGAAAATGGAACAGCTGCTACCTGCCTAGGAACTCTGTCCAGACTTGTGCTTTCTACACAAAGTCATCACTTCAGCTGTTTGCATTCCAGTTAAGCAGGTTGCTGCTCTTTTAAACTATTGTGCCTTGGACCCAGGCTAGGAAGCTGCCTGCATTTACTCCCAGAGTTGCTAAGCAGCTAAAAATCTAAGGGGTTGTCTACACTGCCACTTTACTGCACTGCAGCTTTCTTGCTCAGGGGTGTAAAAAAACCTCAACCCAGTGCAGCAAGTTACAGTGCTCTAAAGTGCCAGTGTAAACAGGCTCCCAGTGCTGTAACTACTCCTTGTGGAGATGATTTATCTACAGCGCTGGCACTGTGATCACACTGCTGTGTTAAACCATTGCCAATGTACAAGTGTAGACAAAGCCTAAGTCAGTGCAACTTCCAAAGGGCCGCCGGAGAGTTTCTTATTTTTTATGGACTTACATAATTAAAAAGATGCTTTTTCTAATACCCTGTCCTCTGATAGCAACTTTCATAAGTCGACCCCCAAGCAAGTTAACAACAAAGCGGAGCAAATTGTTGCCATTTTACAGATGAGTGAACTGATGCACGGAGCAGAGATGTGGCATGGCCAAAGTTACCCAGCAAGCCAATGGCCTAGCCAGGACTAGCACCCAGATCTCTCGAGTTAGTCCAGGGTGCTATCTGTCAGGCCATGCTTCAGTACAATAGAAAGCTGTTATGATGAGTTATAATTAATGCAGCAAAAGTTAACACAGGCCAACTGTCCCTACACAGGTGACTAAGCCATCTAGGGCAGCGGTTCTCAAACTTTTTGGGCTCCGGAGCCCTTTACATGTGTAAAAATTTATGCAGTGCCCCAGTAGTCCACTGATTGTATGTGTTGTGCTTATCGATGTTTCCAGTTTGTCAACCTCACGGAGCCCCTGGAGATGTCTCATGGAGCCCTGGGGCTCTGCAGAGCACAGTTTGAAGAATTTCTGAATAAATGGATGAGAGGGCTGTGTGCCAAGGGCTGCTTGTCCTTCCCCATCAGGTGTCTGTTCCCCCCAGTAGGTGGCGTCTAGACACGGGTGTCTGTTCCCCCCAGTAGGTGGCGTCTGCTCCTGTCCTAATTTTGGCTGCCTTCTGCTGCCTTACATAAGTGGGCATGTTCACTCTAGGTTGCAAGAGAGCTTTAAAAAGAATCCATCTTTAGATCTGAGACTCTTCTGTAACTCAAATAAGGCCCTGGTCCTGCAAAGAGGTTGTGTGCAGGCTTAACAATGGGCACGGTGAAAAGTTCCTTTGGCTCTAAGGAAGCTATTCCCAGCACAATGTAAACACATAAATCCTTGCAGGATTGGGGACCTAAGTACATCACCACTTATCTTTGCGCACACATCACTCAAATAGCTCGAGTTTAGAGGGTCTGGGAGCAGGGGGGGGCCTGGGGAGGAGAGTTACCCGGCCTCCCCCATTCAGCACGATGGTGCGAATGGAGCCTTGTGCATACTAATGTTGTTACTGTGGGTTTGGGGAAGGCCTCTCATTTTTGTTGTATCGATTTTTACCAAAAATGTCTTGAGTTCTACAAAACCTGCTCTTCTGTTGTGCTGATTTTCACTTGGACTCTGGCTACTCAAGCCCGTGAAAACACATAACATTAAGGAAATCCAACTCCTATTAGGTAGGCGTGTTCCATAATAAATTAGATGAAGTGCAGGGGTGAGGTGGTCTGTCAAGTGAGGCGTGGCAGTGGAAGAGAAGCACGTGTGGAGGTGGCTATTTGATTCTTGAAAACAGAACCCCGGACCTGGATCCCTGCTGCAGAAGCAGAGATAGGAGCTCGGTAACTGGGTTACCAAACAGCCATCTCCTGGAGTGGCCCAGAAACCCAAGAGTGGAGGAGGCAGCATGAGGAGGTGACACCCTCGCTGCCTCCACCTTTCCTGCTTCTGGGCCCACTTTTCTCTTGGTAGGGTTTCTATCCCCTGGTGGTGAGGAGTCCTGTGGCACCTTATAGACTAACTGAAGTGTAGGAGCATAAGCTTTCATGGGCAAAGACCCACTTCGTCAGATGCATGCATCTGATGAAGTGGGTCTTTGCCCACGAAAGCTTATGCTCCTACACTTCAGTTAGTCTATAAGGTGCCACAGGACTCCTCGCCGCTTTTGCAGATTCAGACTAACACGGCTACCCCTCTGATACTATCTCCTGGTGTTAATCCTGATATTTCCTCAGAGAACTGCACAGTTAATATTTGCCTTTTAAACAAAATTCATAGCAAACACTTCTACATTCCTGAGAAATTTTAAGCAAAATAAAACCTGAAAATCAAAGGGATTTGCCTCTGGGAAATGAGCTGGGGGGTTTCTCAGTCCAGTTCCTAGCAGGGAGACAGTGTTGCCTAGTGGA